GCTCCTGAAGTGGCTCCTGCCCCAGAGGCCAGGGCTCTCTAGGTGGGGGAGGAGTGGGAGCGAGGGATCCTTCCCCAAACCACTGAACTCCCCCATAGCGAGGCCTCCCACATCCCAGCGCTGTTCCTCACCCACAGGGACATGCAGCTTCCATTTACTGGCTGGGCTGAACTTTGAAGGAAAAGTGTTCAGGGACAAAAGGCGACTGTGCCCCCGGCTCTCCTGCCGAGGCCCCACCTGCTCGCGCTGACATTCAGGGAGCTGAGGCTGGCAGAGCCTTGGGCACATTCTCGCCAACTCCAAATGCCACTTTGTTTTCTAGAGACACCATTTTCCTGTGTTTTAGACAGTCTTACCCTCTGTTACTGAAAAAAAGGTCTGTGTGTGATTCAAGGTCAATTTACTGCACAAAGGACTTGGTTTCCTGTTATCAAGCCCAGACTTTCATCAGAGTAAACATCCCCTCGCTGCACGTCCTGTGGAGAAACACAAGTAGCATGAACACAATATATCATGACATGCTTGGAAAAGAAACCAGTGCCTTGTATTTGACAACCACATCCCTCTTCTCCCCCTGGGGTTTGCTCAAAGCCCTCCAGGGCGGGTCTGGGGGCTTTCCTTGGCAGCCACGGCCCCTGAACCATCCCTGAAGGATGTTATGTCATGGAATCATGGAATGGTCTGGGTTGGAAGGGACCTTCAAGCCCATTTCATTCCACCTCCTGCCATGGGCAGGGACACCTTCCACTAGATGAGGTTGCTCCAAGTTTACCCAACTTGGCCTTGGACGCTTCCGGGGATGGGAGTGTTGAATCCACTGACCACAGCCAGAGTATTTTCATTCCTACTTTTCTAGTGTAAAACCAACTCCACAGGGAGGTATTGACACCACCAGCCAATCGATCATGCCTCGGAACAGGAGGTCACTGATGCCGAGGGAAACGCCAAACAGGCATGTCTGGCACACAGATATCCAGGGTGGCATTTCCTATGGAAAACTCCTGTGAGCCTTCGGAACCTCAGCCTCCGCTCAAAGGAAAGATCCATGTGCCAAGCAGGCTTAAATTAGCCTTGGAAAACTGATTATGGAAAATGTGCCAGCTCAGATGCAAATCCCTCTTACTTTACCTCGTGATGACAACAGAAGCCTGGTGAAATTTTACTCATCCATTAACAGAGGAGACTTTGCCCGGCGACACACGTGGGTGGGATTCCAGCAGGGTGACATTATGCTTTTGGCACGAGGACCTTGGCCCCCCCAAGCATGGCAGCCCTGTGGCATGACAAAGGCAGGCCACAGCCACATACTTTACCTGCTGACTCAAGAGGAAGAATGCAGAACCTACAAAAATTAGAGTCCCAGTCAAAATCCCGAGATGGTAATCTCACGGAACAGCCCCTCAGGTAAAAGATTTATGATTAGAATTACACTCAGGAAAGCACTGGCTGATTTCTAATCACCTTTAGAACAAGGTATAGCCAAGGCATTTCACTGGTATCGCTTCCAAAATCCACTGGAGGGGAAAAAAATGATCACTCAGCTCACTGGGACAGTTTTAGAGTGATTTTTGTTTCACCACCATGGATAGAGGCCCCTCCACGCTCCACTGGAATCAATGACAAAACTCTCCTGTTTTAAGCAGGAAATCATCTTTATTTCTTCTGCTCCTGTGTCTTGTTTCGTTTCTCCTCTCTGCCGTCCTTCCAAAACCGAAACAGCAGCAGCAATCAGATCAGATGACTTCCTAGATCACACGCAGCACTGGAAATCCCAAAAGAATCCTCTGTTTTCAGGTGAAAAACAAATGTTGACACCTGTCCATCCGCTTCCCGAGCAGCACCAGGGGCTGAGGTTATTTTCTTGTCGAGGACAGTGCATTTAAGGATGTGGTTGAGACGATGCGTTTTCCGTTTGACTTCAGTTTGACTTTCAGTTTGAAGCAGAGAGAGCTGTTCTTGTTAAACGCCATCCCAGAAACAAGGAAGGATTTCCAGAAGCATGGCCGGTCTGCCTGTGGCTTGGCAGGTCGGGGATATCCACATCAAAGCTATCAAAGAGCCCGTGGGCGCGATAAACGAGAACGGCTTCCCCTTCTTCGCCGATTTTCTGAAAAACCCCGCAGAGCATTCACTTTTCCCTTCAAGAATGTTCCCAATATTCTGGGTTTTTAAGCGGTTCCTAATCTTAATTGCTGTTGGGATCTTCGGGTGATCAAAGGCAGGGTGGCTGGGGTTCTTTGTGTTACTCACATTAGGGCCGGGATCACATATTCATTTATTTGGGTTGAAGAGGTACCAGTCTCCTTTCACTGCACGCACACAATTACTGTAAGCATGCAGGGGACTTGCCAAATGATGCATGAGGGGAGGAGGAGAATCTTTGAAGAAAATTGTTCAAACGTAATTTAGTTCACTAATTGGCAAGGGACCGTTACTAACGAATTGCTTCTGTTTTATGTCAGGAGTGAATCAGGTTGATGATGTGTAACATACATTAAGTCAGTTAATGAGTATTAACTAGAAATGCGACTGAAACACAAGAAAAAGGGTTTTTTCACCTTTAGCCAGCCAAGCAGAATCGCTAATAAATAAAAGGATATGTGTGAGTGACTTAGATGATTCCAATCTGCAGTGGAAAGACTTTTCTTAGAATCTGATGGTAACCACAAGTTTGTGGGAAACAAAATCAGATGCTTACTGCTGCAGTTCATCACCACTTACTTAATTTCTAACCAAGCCTGAAATAAAAATGACGAAAAGTCATTACCGTAAAATACCTGATTAGAACCCAGTGTGAGGTGTGACAATGAGCCCTGGCCATGGCTGTGGGACCAGGGCACCGTGTGGGCCACTGAGCCATGCGCTCACCTTGTGGGGGCTGTGTGTGCTCTGACACAGACACCTCGCTGTGCTTTCACTGGGGGCAGGACACTTGGCATCTCCCAGTCCGCACCGGGCAGGTTCCAGGGCCCCAAGCCTTGGGTCATGTGTAGAGCAGGAGGACAGCCTTGCTGGAGCAGCTGAGATCCCAGCCACGTTTGCCTGTCCCCATGCAGGATGCCATGGCACCCTGGCCTGGGGTGCAGGCAGGACTCGGGGTGCAGGGATGTGGCAGCAGAGCCAGCGGTGCCAGGGCAGAACCGGGAGGTGACGGCAGGCCCGGAGCTGTCCCGTGCAGAGCAGGGGTCACTCGTGGGTGTGCAGCCCTGAGAGCAAACATTGTCACAAAGCCCGGGCACAAGGAAGGCTTCTGGCTCGCTCTGGCATGTGAACAAACTGGCTTATTAGGCCACAGGTGCAAAAGTGAGAGTGCGGGAGGGAAAGTGAGGATAAAATGGAAAATTCCCGTCTTCTGCAGGTTTTGTGAAACAGGCACCAGCCCACGGAAACTGCCAGGCACTGCTGGGGGCTCAGGGATTGGCAGGGCGTCTGCCTGCCGTGGGCTGAGGGGAGACACCTGTGGGATCCGGATCACAATCCATCCCTTGGCTACCTGGAGGAGGGCAGCAGAAATCTCAGCGGGCTCAGTCTGGGCATTATCTCTGCTCAGTCAGCCAGGGCCTGCTGGCCTTTCACCTCAGTCTGACCAAGCAGAGCAAGAGCAGAAGGGAGATCTGTCAATCCCAGGTCCTGGTAGCTTTAGGCATGGAAAGAGCCCTCATGTCTGAGGGCCTGAGTGCTGCCCCAGCAGAGGACATCACCATGTTAATGGTGACAGGGAATGTGGTGTGCCAAATGATGGCCCTGGTGGCCAAAGACCCTCACTCAGATGCCCTGGACACTTGTCCCATACCTGTCAGGTGTTCTTACCTTTATTTGCAGCCATAGAGGACCTTTATGAAGTTGGTTTTAAAAGGGGTGTATTGCACCACAATTAATGTCACCCTCGGACATGGTGGGCTGCTGGTTCAGAAATGAGCTGATAATCCAGCCACGGCAACACTACTTGCAGAGTCAGAGAAAAACCATCCAGCACCAGCAGAAAATGTGTAGAGATTAGTTTATCTCTTTACTCAATATAGATAACACCCCTTCTTTGAAATAAAAATCTATGCTCCGGAAACAGCAGATAGGATGGAGTTAAGCACAATCTAGTGGATCATGAGACTTGGTGCTCTCTGGCACTGACACCTCAGAGTTCATCTTGAAACAGTGCCATTAAACCTGAGGGACAGAGTGGCACAGGACACTCCAGCCCCAGAGCAGGGAATTGAGCCAGGGAGGGGTGGGAGGTGTGAGGAAAGGAGGCAGAAAGAAGCACACAGACACCACTTGCAGGGAATTATAAATCCTCAACTTTAGAATATCAAACAAGGGCTGGTGGTTGACAAGGTCATGACAATTATGGGGCTTGTTGTCTCCCTGCAATCCAGAGTTTTCATGAGACAACATTCACAAATACACAGGGGCTGTGGAAGGGTTAAACTCTGTGAGAAGGAGAGGTCTGTACCAGTCAGATGACAGTGCAAACTCACACCTTCCAAAATGGATTCTGTGTCAGAATGAACATAATTTCCTGCTGTTCAGAGGCAGCTTCTCTGGTTCACTGACCTTCCTTTTCTTCTCGGGTCCTGTTACCTCTTCCTGGCTAAAGGCAAGGTTCAGGAGGTTTATCTGCAAGAACCATCAGAAACAGGGATCACTCTCACGGAGCAGGCTCCTGCCACATGAGTCAAAAAAGTACAGCTTCCAAAACTGCCATGTGTGTGCCTGGATCCTCTTGGCTCGGTCCCGTGTGATCCTGTTCTCCAGAAAAGCAATTAGGCAAGGAATCAGAACTGGAGGACTGGATGGAACTGGTGGGACTGTGAGAGTTGTGCAAGCAACAGGTTCAGCTTCAGGCACAGGGAATGGGTTTGGTGGCACATGAACAGCACCCATCTTCTCACTGCCAGCAGAAAACAGCAGCAGCAAGGAGGTCTTTGAGGAATACAATAGCTGATAGGCTTTCCCACCAACCTCAGGTAATCAGAACATGTGGAAAAGGAGGGGGCACTCGGGTCAAATTTGTGGTCACAGCCTGTAAGGAGGAGACACACAGTCCCTCTGTACCTCAGGGAATTCAGCACGAGCTGGTCGATCTCAGCCTTTCAAACTACCTGTGAGTTTGTGAAAAATAACTAAACCAAGCAAGCTTTTTCCCAGAAGGCTTAACTTCCCTCTAGAAAGACACAAACCTCCCCCAACAATCTTCTGAGCCTACAAACCAAGAGGTTAAAAACCATAGATAAGTCTATGTGAGAATATAAATGAGTCAATGGAACAGGCACTTCAGACAGACCACAGGGAGATGGACAGCCAGGACGACAGCTGAAGTGCTGGCTGTGCCAGGGGACAAACTCACTTATCCTCCTTATCATGTCACATATTTGCATTTTTACAATAATAATCCGGAGCTGCTGAGAGCGACGTGTGTTGTTGCCCACCCAGAAGGGACGAAGCACAGTCTGGCAATGTGACCTCTCCCACTGGAGCTGAGCTGAAGGGACACACCACAGCACACAGCTTTGCCTCCAAAACAAAGTTCACTTGGATGACAGCGAGGTGAACGGAGAGGGGAAGGAGTGCTGACCGAATTCCTGCTCCGGAGCAGGAGTACCTCCCTCCGGTGTCCCTGCAAAACAGGAGGGATCCTGAAACCGAAGCAGGGCAAGCACAAGGAGTTAAGGAAGGCTGTTCCAGGATGAATCGTGGGGATGAGCACAAGGTCTCCAGATTACAAGCTGTGGTCATTATAGAATTCCCCGCTCACGTCACCAGGGCTTGCTTTCTTCCTGACCTTGGGCTGAGGCTTCGGCAATCTCTGCATAGCAATGGGCTCTCTAATGTGTGAAACAGCTCTGATTAGGGACTTTGAACCAACCCCCCTTCACCTCTCTAGCCTGTTTCAAATTGTTTTTCTTCCCCTCTTCCCTCCTCTTCACCATGAGCAACACAATATTGCTTAATGCGAAAAGTGCAGTTTCCTTTCCCTAAAAACACGGAAAACAAGGATGTGCCAAGTGGGCTGGGCAGGTTCTCCCTCATCCTGCACACTCAGGCTGACAGAGCTCCCAATGCTGCCCAGGGACAGAGTGATGAGTGGGTTTGTGCTGCAGCTCAAACCTGATATCCAGCTGCTCCAAAGGGCATTTTTAAGCAGCTATTTAACTCCCCCTCCCTGGCATGGTTTTAACCTGCCTGCTTCCTTTTTTTTTTTTGAAGGAAAGGGCCCAGAGGAGGAAATCCAAAGCCTCTGCAGTGCTGGCACAGCTGCAGGGTTTGTCCCTGTCCTGCTGGCCACACAACAAAGCAGGGTGGTGATTCCCAGTCTCCCGGCCCCAATAACCTGGATGAGGCAGCTCTCCTTCTATTTTAGCCTAAACAGCATTAACCAGAGCTGCTGCTTTTATTTCCTCTATGGAGGAACGGATCTTCCCTAGCCCAGACAGCTCCTCCATGAAGATCTGACCCCTCTTCCTCCTGAATGTTCTGCAAGGATGGGATACTCCTGAGGCCACGAGCAGCTGCTCACACTCCAACTCTGCCCAGTTTTCCTGCCCCTGACCACAGGCACCTCACAGGAACCTGTGAGGAGCAGTGAAAACATCCATGGAAGCCATCGAGGGCTCTAGACAAGCACTGTTCATCTACTGAGTGAATCAGATGTCAACAGGGAGAGGTATTTCACCAAACACAACATGCCCTGGCCTGTCCCTGCCCAGCTACAAGTTCATGGAGGAACTCAGAGCCAGGAACAGACCCCAAGTCCAACTCCAGCTCCCATCCTTAACCAAACACTCCAGCTTCTCAGTCAGAAACAGCTCTCTAAATGGGATTAAGTCAGATTCTGTGCATGTTTATTTGACTTGAACCAGTAAGTAAACCTCTTCAATGGTGTGGTGAGAAGCAGGAAATCCCTCCCATTGACTAAACACACAATCAAAGCCTCCAGAAGTTCATTAATTCTAATTTTTCCCATGCACTGGGATGCTTGAGTCGAATAACCAATGGCAGAGCCTGCGCTGTGGGAAGGCTGCTCTTCCTCTTACACAAGCCCAGCTCCAGGGATGAGCCAGTTGCAGTGAAAGCAGGCAGGACAAGGTGCAGGCTCGCCCTGCACAGGCACCACGCTGACAGGTGGGACAAGTCCAGATCAAGTAGCAAAGGCAGGAACAGATCCACGACCTCCCGACTCCGAGACCCAGGAGGAGTTCAGGGTCTGGGTCACACCACGAACACGCAGTGGCTCTGACTCTCCTGTGTTGCAGCACTGAAGTACGTGTAAAAAAGTAACACTTTGCGGCAGGGATTTTTCTGTAGAACTGCAGCTCACTTGTGAATCACACAAGTGTTACTAATTTCTGGCAGAGAGCTCGGGACAGCTGCGCGTTGTCTGGAGGAGATATCGGGCTAAAAATAGATTAGGCTTAGATTAAAGCCTTCCCAAGGCAGACTGGTGGACCAAACAGCATGAGCAGACCACAGCCACACTGCTATTCTTAGACAGACACAATCAGGACCCAGTTTTGTGCTCTGCAGTTTGCAATCCCCAGTGTCCCCAAGTATTCCAGTCGAAAATTCCCAGCATAAATCGAGGCAAATTTACAGCTCTCCTGACGTGGTTTTTGCTTCCCAGGGCATCCTTGTGCAGAGCAGCTAAAATTGCCCAAGAGCACTGGGCTGTGTCCCTCTTTGTCCCCGGCCTGCCCCATGCTGAGGTTTGGCACTTGGCAAATTTTCTGCCCTCAGAAATGTTCCCTTTGTCTGGGACACGGAGGGTTTTGTTTGGTACCTTGTAACTCTCCCGACAAATTCAGAAGCACACTGATGTCAAAAGAAGTGCAGTTCCATCGAGCAAGCTGGAAGAATAAGGACTGAGATACAAGACTGAACTGCTGAGAAAAGGCAGAGTGACCCTCAGGTGTGAGGGCAGCACACAGTTTGTGCAGGGGACTCTCATCAGAATGAGATTGACCCAGTGCCTGAGGCATCCTGTGATTGCAACTGCAGCTACCGCTGACTCAACAGCACAGCAAACTCCTGCCACTTCCAGAAATCAAGCCAGTGACTCTTTAAATTGGTCCCCTGAGACCTGAGGCATGGGCTGGTGAGGGCAGTAACTCCTGCCTGCTCACTGACAGCTCCATGATCCCCAAACACAGCGAAAATCAAAGTTCTCAGGACACATCACAGTGTCAGTGAAAGGACAACAGGAGATGGACACAAACTGACTCACAGAATCGTGGAATCACAGACTGGTCTGGGTTGGAAGGGACATTAAAAGCTCATCCAGTTCCACCCCCCTGCCATGGGCAGGGACACCTTCCAGTAGCCCAGGTTGCTCCAAGTCCCATCCAATCTGGCTGTGGACACTTCCAGGGAAATACAAGGAGTTCCATTCAAACATAAGGACAAACTTGTTATTTTTTTTACCATGAGTGCAACCAAAGACTGGCACAAGTTGTCTAGGGAGGTTGTGGAGCCTCCATCCCTGGAGTGGACAAGGCCCTGAGAGCCCCGTTCCCCTCCCCTGCTTCGGGCAGGTTGGTTGGACACTCCAGCCTCCGGTTCCCCTCCCGACCCCGCTGGCTCCACAGAGGCGGATCTGTGGGCTCAGCACAGGGCTCCATCTCTTTGTCTCACAGCCCCTCTGCACCTTGTGTTTCTTGTAGCTTTTAAAGGATTAATGAATGGATTTTCCCAGAGTATATATATTAAAAAAAATGTTTAAAAAATACCTGCTGAAAGACTAAATTATCACTATCTCTCCTACTGATCTATTGCAGGGCACTCGATCACACTGTACTCTTCCATGATGGGCATTCAGTTTGCTGGATCACAGTCCAATCCACTTCCCAAACCCTGTACGATTCCAGCGTTGGAATTCTCCACTGAGGAGGAGAAAAGGCCATGGACACTCCTTTTGCCTACTAGGCTGCTACCCAACAGTCCCTCCTGGGATATTAGATCTGCCCAACCTTAATTGATGTGGATTTCTCCAGAGGGTCTGGTTGCTAGCATGACTTTATGGAATGGCAGCCAGCATGGAAGCACCACGTCCTCCCAGGGATGTCCCCGGGGGAGCTGTCAGGGAATCTGAGGGCACAAGGGTTAAATCTCCCCGGATCTGCGGGCTGATGGGCCTCACCTCTGCACTCAGAGATCACCAGGAAACTGTTTCCTGCCCACTAGACAGGGATAACTCATGGAAGGGATGAATGGCCCCAAGATACAGCTGAGGATCTGACGTGAACTGAGAGAAGCCAGGAATTTCCTGACCTCCCTGTCTCACTCCTCCCAGAATGGCCTGAGCTCACAGGAAGGAGAGGCAAGCTCATCTCTGAATCTTTCTCTCTTCATTGCCTGGGTCTGTGTAGCTTCAGCTGGTTTGGAGGAGAAAATGTTCTGGGAACTTCTCATCAGATACAGCTCTTGATGGACAGTTAGAGATAAACCTTGCTGTTTTTTTTTTTTTTTTTCTTTTCTGCAAAAGTTCAAGATAATGACATTGCCACAGAAAAATGCTTTGCTATTGCTGTGCACATGGCAGGTCTCACCCTTCGACTGCCTCCTGTCATGGCACTTCTGGACGTGCTTTGCTTGGGAAAAATCAGACAACAAAGATCTTGGTCTCCGAGCTGTTGTTTGCAATCGAACCCACTTGTGCTGACCTTCACTTCCAGCCACAAGCTATGGAGGACATTGCAGCTCAGCAAGGCACAGGAATCCTGGAATGGGTTGGGTGGGAAGGGATCTTAAAGCTCATCTCCTTCCACCCCCCCTGCCATGGGCAGGGACACCTTCCACTGGCCCAGATTGCTCCAAGCCCCGTCCAACCTGGCCTTGGACACTTCCAGGGATCCAGGGGCAGCCACAGCTTCTCTGGGCAACCTGGGCCAGGGCCTGCCCACCCTCACAGCCAACAAGTCCTTCCCAATATCCCATCCAACCCTGCCCTCTGACAGTGGGAAGCCATTTTCCCTTGTCCTGTCCCTCCTTCCCTTGTCCCAAACCCCTCTCCAGCTCTCCTGGAGCCCCTCTAGGCACTGGAAGGGGTTTTCAGGTCTCCAACAGGGTAACCACGGCCCTGGGCACCCACAGGATACTGATCCCTGGCAAACACAACAGGTATTACTGTGTCATCCACGAAACTCTGTTTCCATGCTGGCTTCCATCACTGCCACAGTCCCTTGGAGAAAGGGGCCATGGCCAGGTAGCCAAGGAGCAGCAGCTGGAGGCCAGACAGACTGTCCTCTGAGGGCTAAACCAGCCCTGATTTACAACTCTTAGGTATGAATGCCTCCCCAGACATCCCAGTGCAGACAGCTCCCGTTAGCAGAGCTGATCCACATGGCAGGAGCAGGGCTCCAGCAGGCAGAGAATTCCCGAGCACACCCCCGAGCACTGATCCCAACCGCTCTGTCCACACAGTGCCAAGTGTCAGCACGTTCCTCGTGTCCCACAGCAGTCTACAAGCACAGCCAGTGTAGCAGCAGGAGCAGTGTCTGGTGGTGGCTGATGAAGCCAGAAACTTGGGAGGCAGAGCTGCCTTGTGCTGCGCTGATCCAGCCACACCATTCCCAGCCCCGGCGCGGGGCGATCCAAGGCTCTCTGCACGGCTGCCTCGCTGTGCTCCAAGGACCACCCCAGAACTTCAGCCCACAGCTTCCTGATGGGAGATAAAAGCCTGCAGAGGCGTTCACATGGTCAGATTTTACTCATCTTCTAGTTCTGTTTCCTTCCAAACTCATTCCACTGCAGCATGTTTGCTTACATGAAGACAAAACTGACCAAAACCAATTTTCAGGAGAAGAACATTAAAGGATTCACAAGAAGATAAAGGAGTTTGCTGAAGAACTCAAGAAGTTATTCCAAGTCAGTGCAGGACCTCACTCTCATCAGCAGATTTCTGCAAGTTAAACCAACAGGCAGCAATTCCCTATTTCCCCCAACTCTTCCCAACTCCCAGAATTCCAGTGAAAAATAGGAAGATGCACAAACATAACACAAACTGGGGACAAACCCTTGGCTGATGCAATCACTCCTGAAGCCAGCAGAGGTGGGCTAATTTACATGCTGGTGTCTAACTCCGGATGATTAAGCACAGAGATGCTCTGCTGGAAAAGGGCAATCTCTCATTTGATCCCCGGGATCATCAATCATGAGATTGCAGATAACAAGCCAGTGGAGTACATGGAAATTTTTTCCCAATCTGCAAAGCCCTTGTCAGAGACTCTCCGTGGCCATTCCCAAAGTGCAGTTCCAGCTCTCACTGGGCAGGAAGAGCTGCTCCTCCTTTGGCAGATCCGCATCCTCCGCCTCTCCCATGCCGATTAGATAAAAATAAGCCTTTAATACTTTCATTCCTGGTTTTCCCGAGGAGCTATAGGTCAGGAAGATAGTGACCAATAAACTCGATTCCAACGGCACAGTTTTTATTTTCGGTAACCAAGGAATCAGAAGGATTCACTCCAGATGAAGGGCAGAAATGTGCTCGCCCACATTTCCAGAGGCAACTTGTGACTGTGGGTAACGGTTTCGAACTCAGAACTTCTCGAATGCCAAGTCCTTGAGCAGACAGCTATTTCTGGGACACTCCAAATTGTTCTGGTGAGTTCAGAAAATTCTGGTATTCACACCCCAACCCAACAACTGGCAAACAGTGTCTGGGTAGCAACAAGGTGTTCACACTGGCAGCCCAAAGGTCTGTTCCACCCCATCATACCTGTACTTGACCCTGTCAGATAACACCTAACTCAGACTTCCCATCCACCCAAGCTTCTCCTCATTTTTTAAGACAAACTTCACTCATCAGCTTGGCTTCCTGATTCAAGTGGAATACACAATGGTCATTTGTTTTAACCACTTCCTTCAGAAAAGAAGGGAAAGTCCCTCTCATATGGAAAAGAGTGTCAAATTTTTATTAGCAGAGGTTTTGCAGTGACGATTCTAACTCCTGCCTTGACTTTGTTTTTCCCTAAAGCCAGTGAAATATTAGCCAGTTTCAGAGTAATGAGGGTTTAAAAATAGTATCAAAGAATACATTAAGAAAACCCTCTCCCACGCAGAATCTACCGGGCAGAGGGCTTGGGATTATTTTTTTTTTTTTAAGTCTTTGGAAGCATATGATGGATAAAGTGATCCTTGCATTTTTCAGCAACTAATGTTGTTTCCACCACCTTCAGACACTCTCACTCCTGCTACCGAATTTTAATGAAATTCACATGCTGAGAGTGAGAGAGAGAGAAGTGTCTGGTGCTCTGCTTACCATCGTGACAGCCCCAAAAGAAGGTCAGAGCATGAATCAGTGGGACAACCATGAGCTACAAACAAAAAAGGCTCCTGTTTTCACACAGACGACAGAATAAACAATGATGAGAAGGAAACCGGAGGATGTGACACGAAAAAAAAAATGTGGTTAAAGTTTGAAAAATACCAGCCTAGGCACAGAAGTTCATTTCTAAGATCCAGAGTCAAGGCAAATACCTCGCAGATGCCTTTAGAATGACACGGTGAGTGCAGTCTGCAGTTGTTGTCTGGGTTAGACACCCCGGGATTCTTTTCAACAGAGGCGGGGAAAATTTTAGTAGCAATTTCCTACTCTCGTTAACTTACCCTGTAAAGATGCAGTTTCTGACCATTCAAGCTCACATGATTCTCAACTAATTTGAATGGGAGAAGGATCAAGTGGCAAGGCTGGTGGTATTCAGAGATTTGCCCTGTCAGTGAGAAAACCTCTGCACATGCCCATGAACTGGGGCTCTGACCGTGACTCAGGGTTTGGCCTGGGCAGCCCTCAGGATGGGATTAACTTCACATCACTTGTCTAAGATGACATGTCTGGTCTACCCCAGTTCTTTGGGTTGCCCCAACAACAACCAAAAGAGAGATCAGTACCCCCAGGGGATAATTCTTCCTATCCCAGAGAGGCAGCCAAAAAGGGATAGGATTCAGTAAGTACCTGTGAGTCACAGGTAGAGACAGTCTGGAAGCACGAGAGGAGAGGTGAAGACCATGTAGGGCAACAGACAAACCTAAAACAGGGTGGTGATTTCAGACCCTTCACCCAAACCCCCACACAGGTAAAACAGCGTGGCTGGGATGGTGACAGGTTTAGTCTGTGTTGTAATTCACAGGTGCCAACTCCGGGGAACAGAACCCATTTCTGCTCCTGGATGTGTGAAATAAGCTGATCATGGAAAGCTTCTTCCCAGTTCATGCTCATATCCCTCTGGCCCAATACTCTGTAGCCTCCATGTATATTGTGATCCTGCACATTAAATCCACTAATGTTGGTGAATCTTGTGCCATCCTTGATGACACAATGATCCCTGGCACTGAATTCCACCTTGGAACCACCAAAGTTTCCTCACCTGCTGGGATGCCCTTGAGCAAGGCATCCTGCCTGTCTCCTTTATTCCTGCCCTCTTCTTCCTGCCTGCAATCCAAACAGCAAAGTAAAATAAGCTTCGAAGAGTTTAACAAACAAAACAAAACAAAACAATCCAGAAGTCTGACTAAACGACTAGGGAAAAATCCCATGAAACTGTGTAACTTTTGCTCCCAGGAACTGCCAGCACTGGCAGTTTATTCCCAGAGAGGTGTCCGAATTCCGTGCCATCTGAACATCAGCTTGCAGCAGCTTTATCACTCAAACTATACTTTAACCTGGTTTCTAAGAAAACAAAGCTTATGTTTGCACATGCCCTAAGTGTGAGGGGTGGGGGAAAGGAGGGGAGATCTCCTTGGGTACTAATTATTAACCTTTTAGAAGGTTTCAATAAAATTTAGGGGGGGGTGCTTCAAAGCGCCCCAGTTTCATGAGAACAGGCAACTGTCAGAGCAGGAGGATCCTGCTAATACCCCCAGAGTGACAAAGGTGGCAGGATGAGTAGTTATGAGTCGTTGGAGAACCTGCAGGAGGAAGACCTGCAGAGGTGACTCCACAGGCTGAGGAGCTGCTTTATCCTTCTGCCGGGCGATCCCAGGAATGCTATTTACCATTCTGTCACTAGATGGTATTGTTCCACAGGCTATATCCCACAGCCTCAAAGGTCAAACACAGCGTGGTATAGCAGAGCCTGGGATACTCGAAGGGAGAGAGAAGAGGCTTTTCTTTCGTGTATTTTCATGTGTGGAAGTTATTAGCAAAAAATCATACTGTAACAGCTAAAGAGCTCTGGCGAACATGGAGATAATGTAACACAGTTTTGATCATCTGGGCATTTCCTCCATATCTGAAAGAAACTGCTGAGATAAAGAGGTGGAAAGATACTGATACAAAATTAAATGTTTCTGTTAACAACCCAAGGATATACAAGACCTTCAGTACAGCTCAGGCTGATCTGGCACAAAATGCAAACAAACACAGTTTATCCATTTCAACGTGAGTGAGAAAACCTAAATATTATGCTGGGATACAGTCAGGAGCATGTTTCAAAACTGAGTTTCAAAACTGAACATTTACCTGCATCTTGAAGGCAAAAAGAAGATGCTTCCATTTTCCTGCCTGGGTGGGTGTCATTTTTGTTCCCTTCCTGCTCACTTGAATCTACTCTGACAGGGAGAGGGTGATTCTGTAAAGCAAGTGATGTGTTGTCTTAATAGCATAATCTAAAAAATATGGCCAGGTGGTGAATCCATTAACCCCACAATGTTTCTTTCAAGGAGGGTTTTGCTAAATAAAGATTCCCATTCTTGCAGTGGGAACCAAACAGAGCTATTTCCATACCTTGGTGCTCCCCTCCTCTTCCTCCTCCTCGCAGTCTAATCCTTGGTGGGAGATCTCAGTAGGGCCTCTCTTCTGGATCAGCTTGCTGTGAGCCTTCCTCATCCTCTTCTTCTCAGTTGTCACTCTCACTTTCATGAGGTGGAAGTCAGTGGAGACTGACCCCAGTTTCAGGCTGACGGGATCCCCCCCAAACAACAGGTCACCAGGGCTGGCATCTTCCTTAAAGCCAGGGGGCTGGTAATCTTTGGGAGTGACTGCACAGGGAGAGGGAACCCACTGGGGTCAGAGAAACCGAGTTCCAGCTCTCCTAAATCTGATTCAGAAAGAACAAGTGTGAACCAGCCTCGAGTAACATCGACTACTTAAAATATTCTGGGGTTTTTTTTTAGGAGGAAGGGAGAGAATGCAGAGGGGAAAATGAGCTGAGAGAATGTTATTGGGGAGCTCAGAGAAAGAATGACTTTAGGATGGTGAGATACCATTAAAGTGCTCAGTTTCTGGAGCAGAACCTGGTCCTTAAAAAAACAACCTCCCCCAGCAAAACCCCAGGCAAGAAGGATGTCTTCCTTTCACACTGCATGGCTGCACTTCTCCCATGGACACCTTTCCTAAAAAGCATCTGCCATCCCCGTGCCTCAGAAAGGTTTACTGTGTTACACCATTTCTCACTGTTATCAGCCAACAGCTCCCATCTCAACTTTCGATGCTTCAGTTGCTTTACAGGGCTTGTTTCTTACAGGAACTGATGGGAGGGGAATTTTCCCCCACCTACCATCGTTGTAGTAGAGGAGTTTCATGGTGAGGGTGATGTCATTGGGCAGTGGCCCCAGGTTCTGCATGAGCAGGTAGAGCTTACGGAGCAGGAGCCTGCTGGCCTGTTTGATGTCCTCGCTGCACAGCCCAGTCACAAACTCCCTGTGGTTGCTACAACCAGAAGAAGAATAACAGATTTGTTATCTTCAGTCATGAATATTCACGATCTGATTACACATACAGAGCACCCACTGAGTGGTCTGAAACCACCAGTGACAAAGCTACAATGTCTTTATGTCATTTCCAGATAAACAGGGAAGTGAAACAGGCTCCAGGGATGGGGTGGCATCCTCAGAACACCCGCTCTGGACTCAAAGGCTTGGCATTTACATTTGAACAGACTTTGGAGCCGGGGCAACAGACCCCATTATACAAATGCCATGAGTCACTTGTTTGAACATGATTAAATTGGATCAAAGGCCCATAAAACAAGTGCCTTTCACCTAAGCAATTTCAGGAATGAGAGGAATGAGCCGAGAATCCCATCTAAAGCCGATTCATCACAGGGACTATTTTCAAGCCCATTCTGCAGTTTGAAGAGAGGGGACTCGCATGTTCTCCCCCAATTCCATGCAAGAGAAATGAGCTCAGAAGCACATTTTTCAGCAGTGACGAAAGGGCATTCCTCTCCCCTCCTTCCCCCACCCAAATGTCAGCTGGCAGGGCTAAGCAAGCAGTCTAGACTGAGACCCACGGGTGACACGAGTGGGATGAATCGCGCTCCGGAGGAGTTTGTTTCTCTTGACTGCAGAGGTAGATGAGATGAGCAGCTTTACACGGCCCAGATGAATCACTGTGTGACTAAGGGACCTGAACTTCCCGAACTTTCAATGAGAGGGGGCCCTAAAAATGCGTGGTTCCTTCATTACATCTTTGGGAAAGACCCCTGACACGGGTGGGTGGCCCCATGTGGATGGTCCCGAAGGCAATCACCCCAAACTGCTTCCAAAGGAGGAGAGCAGAGGGCTGAATGTGACTGAACCACGGCAAAGAACAGCTTCATTAGGACAGATTCCCCCTTCCAGCTGAAGCTCCTTGGCTTGTCATGAAAACATAGTGGCTTGACTTCCCAGAGTATGGAATCACAGGATCATTTAGGTTGGAAAAGGCCTCTAAGATCCTCGAGTCAAACTGCTGACAGGTGCAGGGGATGGTTTGGCAGACTCCAAGCTGCCAACAGCAAAACTCTGCGGTGTCAGATGTGCACTGTGGTCTTAGATTAAATCCTGTATGGTCAGAAATGGGCAGCAAAGCAAGAGGGAAACGCTGGCAGCGCCTTGGGTGGAATATCCATCACCTTTACAAGCTGTGGGATTAGCAGATCAGAAATGGCAAGGGGAAAGATCGTAAGAAAAAAAGAAACGAGACTTCCATAGGAATTAACAGGTCAAGGCTGATTCAACATGGGAATAACACTGTGAATTTGATGCAGGAGTGTGTCAAAAAGCAGAAGGAACTGAACCTTGGAAAGACTGGGATCTATGGCAAGGAATTCCTCTAAAATGCATCTAAAATAAGGCAAAGACCATTTAGGAGAAAATTTCCCCTTATCCCTCAGATGTGATGATGCAAACCCACAAAACATCCCTCCTGGAATCACTAACTCCAAGTTTGCACATGACAACAACCACTGCAGGTGTAAAAGGCAGTGTTATCAGCCAGCGGAGCTGACAGCAAAGATGACACAATTCCCTGGTCTGTGCCAGAACATCTGATTACCATGGACTGCAGGGACATGCAGGAGCCTGCCAGGGCACTGCCAGTCCCTGAGGAAACACAGCAGAGCCCAGGAATCCGGTGCCCTGGGCTCTGGAGCCTCAGAGCACACACAAACATAACCCCAAGATTGCCTGGCCAGCAAGATGGGCTCCAAGGGATGCCAAGCTCCATCTGGGAACTGTCCTTATCTCTGGGAACTAATGAGGAAGGCTGATTAAAACCCCAAAATTACTCAAGGGCCATCTATTATCTCTCAAGTCCCAAATCTCCTCTTCCCCTCAGAGTAGTGAGGACAATGGACAGCAGCTTCACAGCAGAAACACAGGGCACTGCCAGCAGATAATTCCACAGATAACCACACTCAGATAATTCAGATTCTGCCAACAGAAGATCATCTTGCCTTATACCAGAAATTATTTGGATGTGTTTTGAGAGAGAGCAGCTAAAGGCAGACTCCAGGAGTGCTGTGGAGGAGCTTCCTGAGGAGCACACAAGACAGCAGAGCTCTCTTGCTGTACAGGCAGGTTTCCAGGCCCAAAGATTTCAAAAATGGCATCGGCAGAACAAACTGAAAACAGGTCAATTTTTTTTTTTTTCTTTTTTTTTTTGCTTTGGTTGCAGCCAACAGCCTTTGATAGTATTTATTTGAAACTCCACGGGATTATGGCCTACTAAGCACAGCTTTAAATATCTAACAGAGAGTGCCCAAAAGAGGCAAAAAGCTGCTGCTTCCTGCCACGCGTTTTGCACCAGCAACTCAGGCATCGTAAGCGAAAGTTCTCTCGGGTCACCCACGCAGGGCTGCTCAGGCAGAACACATGTATGCAAATATCCAAGGGAAAAAACCCTGGGTGCAGGATCCTGGGGAAAGGGATCAAACCTTTTGAAAGCACGAGGCTGTGAGGTGAAAGTGGAAGAATCAGTTGAGACGGCAGCAAGCTCAGGAACTGTGCTGGTTCCTGCATCACCCCCCCTGATGAGGAACCGCTGCTACCACCTGTCCTGAGCTCAGCTCGGGTGCCCTTCGAGGGCCTCATGATGCTACATAACCTCATTTTTGACTCATCCTCCCAGTAGGTGAACATTTTCAGCTCTGAGGGTATTTACAGCTGCTCAGCAGCTTGGACATGCTCAAACCACAGAATCACAGGATGGCTTGGGTTGGAAGGGACCTTAAACCTCAGCTCCTTCCACCCCCTGCCACGGGCAGGGTCAGCTTCCCCTAGCCCAGGTAGCTCCAAGTTTATCCAACCTGGCCTTGGACACTTCCAGGGATCCAGGGGCAGCCAGAGTTTGTCTGGGCAATCATAAAGTGCAGCTTCTTAATGCTTCATAACCAGTTTTCAATGTGACCCTGAGAAAGCAACCCACACCTTTACCTGCTGATGTCCATCTGTGGCACATTCTTCTTATACTTGAATTTGAATTGATAGAGTTCAGTCACCACCTAGAGAGGGAACAGGAGAGGGGAAAAGCAAAAATGGGTCACTTTGGGCAACAAGCGTAAAGATGTGTCCTGAGCTTGGCAGAGTCCTTTCACACTCCCTGCCAGAGCACAGCATTAACTCAGTGACATGATGACAGCTTCAACTCCATTATTGCCTGCACGGGCTTGGGCAAATTTTCTAAACAACCACAGCTCACCTAGCACTGAAAGGATCACAACAAAATTACAAACTTCCTGCTTCCTCCTTCCACTTCCTCCGTGGGCCTGACTGCCCAGCCTCAGTCTCTAGCGAGGCTCCAGGGCCAGCCAGCCCTCCCTTGGTAAGGAAAACTGGGAGCTGCAGGGGTGATCAGTGCCCTAAGGAAGCCTGGCCCAGTGCTCTGTAGGGAGACAAAGGTCTGGAGGACTCTTCCCACAAGGAAATTCAAACAATATTGCATGGGAAACAGTTGCCGAATTTCACCGGTCTCAGAGTTTTTTACTGAGGGAGGTAAAAAAACAAAATGATTTTCCATTTAAAAGGATTAAAGAATAAAACAATTAGGAAGAACGGATAGCTTCCCCCCCCCGGAGAAAGGATCTATTGTAGACCAATTCCATGCCTATAATTCACTTTTCCCAGAGACAATGAGGTTGATTAGTAGGAGCTCAGCTGTGCCCTTAAATCTGAGCCTTCCTTACAAATCCCAGCCTTGGCACAACTAAACTCCTGTCCCCAGATGCTGAGGTGACACACAGCAGAACTGGAACCAGGTTCAGGTGCAAAGAGGCTACAGCTGTTCTCTGATCTCCAGCATGGAATCAGACCCTCACTAGGGATCCCAGCCCCAGTCTGTATCCCCAAGACATGTAACAAAACAGAAACACAACAGGGAGCACCAAAAGGACGAGGACAGGCACTACACAACACATCCATCCAGGTTTGAAGGGATTCCTGACTTCTGTCCTGCACGACAACACAGCTCTTTTCACCGGGGCCGTTAAAAAGGCGATTTGTAAATTAATTATTTTGAACTTCCCATTTTTTCTCTTCGGGAAACTAAACCAAAAGTGCAAACATGGCCATTAGTTGCCTGCTGACACCCCTGCCTGAGGCCCTGGTGGGCCCACAGCCTGGTGCCTGGTGTTTGATCCCAGTCCAGCTCACTGGGCTGGCACTCTGGAGCGAAGGCACAGGGACAGAAATGGGGTCACCGAGCAGCTCCGTCAGGGTGGAACTTCAGCCACGACTCCACTCTGAATACAGATGTACTCACCCATGGCTGCAGTGGCCTCAGAGATTAATTAAGGCTCTTTCTTACCTCCGGTTCCTTGGGATTGGTGTAAATCTGTTACAAGAAAGCACAGTGAGGGCATTCTCCCCGGGACAACTTGAACCAGTGACTAACAAAGATATTTTCAGTTTGTGGCAGGGACTGGACTATCTTTAGCGTGGGATCAGAGAAAGGAATGGCTGAGAAACAGCTCTCCTCTATCAGCAGGCAGTACTTACCACTTCAAAGACAGGTAGAAGACACTCATGTGCAATTGTGGAGGAATGAGGTTAATTCCCATTCCAGCCCTCACAGGGAACTCCTGACTGAGGTTTAACTGCTCAGATGATGCAGAGAGCAGATGCAGAGCAAAGCTCCTGGAGCTTTACAGAGGGCCAGGGCTGATGGCTGCCTGGGAGCCACCAGTGTGTGGTTTGTCCAGGATCACATTAATAAGGACACTTCTGCAGGGGGAAATGAAGAGGAGCTTCCATCATAGGAATCACATGGAAGTGCTTCTCAGAGTCTAAGGATGCATGTGAGGCCTCAGTCAGGAGCGTGACATGCTGAGAAAAACATCCCCACGCAGCCTTGAACTTCACATTTACCACATTTGATAAAGGTCCTAGCTCTATTAAAAATCACAAACATTCTGGCTGCTCCTTAAAAAAGGCACAAATGGTTTGACACAACCTTGACTCCGTATCTCTGTCAAGCAGGGGAGGGGAAAGAAAACCACTTTGTATTCATTTACTTACTGCAAGGACAGCGACGTGGAGCTGAGGAGGGAAAGGCAAAACAAAACACAGAATCAAAATGTAACCTCAGTGGGCAAGGAAAAGCAAGACCTATCAAAGCTAACTGCCTACACAGGGCGAAGGAATAGATAGATACACTCAAACGAGGAGTTAAAACCCGTTCTGCAGATTCTTCCCAGCACGGCATCAGCAACACCTAGTGGCCAGTCAGTCTGGCTTTACTTGCAGTTTCCCAAGAAAACAGCTCCGTGCTCAGCCTGCTCCCATGGGGCTCCTTCTAAACAAATCCCCAAAGGCTGTGCTGATTTAAAACCCTGTTCCAAGAGCACCCATCCCCACTGAAGACTAATATTTGCTCTCCTCTACAAAACTCCCCAGAGGTATTTATGCTACAGCAAGGAAGTGGACATGGGACTGCCTTGAAAACAATCTTAAAATACGCATTAAATCCTCGGGTTTTCCCTAATCCTTGTCAAACAACAACTACTTCATGTCTCTCATAAATAGCAAAGGACCTCCTAGAGCTGTCAGCAAGCACTACACTGTGATTCACAACATTGTGAATTATCCCGTGCACACTGACAGTTGTACTGACGTCTGAGAGCCCATCAGATCATCAGTGCCACAACCACCAGCACTCCATCTGATCTGGAGGAGCTGTGCTGATGAGCACTGCTGACAGAGATGACAGCAGCTGGTGCTTTTCCCCGTGCAGGGCAGTTTTTACGTGAGAATCAGCAGGGAATATGATTTCTTGCTACTGGTTTTGTCCTGGAACCAGTCACACACCTCACTCAATGAATTACTTTCCCAAAAAAAGGAGTAAATTCTGAGCCCAAGAGAAAAGCCAGGAGGGTTTGGGAGGATGAGCAGAAGGGGAAAGGAGATGAAGGGAAGTAAAAGCACAGAACCTCTCTCAAGAAAACAGGGCAGGAGATCAGGATCTCAGCTCTGCCTGGCAGTGCCTCTATCAGACATTAGGGAACACAGATGTAGAGCACAGAGCTGAGGGAAATCCACTGCAGGCTGCAGATGAGTCCCCACACCATGGGCAGATGAGCCTAGAGAGCAACAGTGGTCAATATTTGGGCTCAAGGCATAAAATCCCAAATCTCACACTCAGGGCAGCGTCTCCCCCCTGTCCCAAGGCCATAAGGGTGTGTTGTGTGCATGAGGGATTGTAACAGAAACGCAGCAGAAATGGAAAGATAGTTTTGTCCATACTTTTTCTGAAGAAATAGGAAACTCTAGTAAAAAATGTGAAGAAAAACTTACATACTGCTTCTCCAAAGCATCAAAACAACCTTGAATCCTGCCAGGGAAAAAACATGTTAATACTAACCAGCAGTATTTATCTCCTGATCTGTAAACACACGCTCATTAGATACGGGTTAAAGGGCATTTTTTTCTGGAACTAGGACAACACAACTAACAACATTTGGGGCTTGTACAGTCCTTTTCAGGTCAGCCCCGAAGGCACTGTCCTTCCTTCTGCATTTGTGCATTGTTTATACTCCTGGGGTATCATCCTGTCAGCCCAGAGCCCACTTGAATCCTGACAAAGACAAGGGTTGGAGGCCCAAGGCTGGCTCTGAGTGGCTCCCTGCTCAGTGCTCTGCTCCAGCTCCCCACCCAGAGCTCTGATGGCTCTTTTCCCATCAGCCTTGCACAGAGCTCGGCTGAATGTGAACACGTCTGGTCTTGTAAATCTTTGTTATCTGATGCATAGTTTACAACAATGGATTTTCTCAAAGCTGTAAATATTATTTGAAGTAGCAATAGCCAGATATTTGCTCTTGGAGTCAAAGGATGTGCAGCGAGGTATCTCCTTAGCACATCAAAGTCAGTTTTTCTGCTTGCTGGGAACGTGCCAACTCTTGAACACATCCTGAAGAAAAGCTGTGGGGTACTTAGGGAGAAAAAAACTCTGCACATACTGACAAACAAGTGCAAGAATCCCTATCAAAGTGAAACCAGAAAAGACTAAACAACAACAGGATTGATCTCATGACTGTCTTTACCCTCTCTCTGTACCTCCGCTGCTGCGTGTGCTCTGGGGCCTGACCATGACCTCACTGCAGCCAACACTTCCACAGACCTTGAACTCACATGATGTGGGTCAGCTAATTCCGTCCTGCTTACGCAGGGCCAGCACCCCCGCAGCGCTGGGAGCTCCCCTGGCACCGGCAGCGCTACCGGGCACCGTCTTGTCCAATTCAGGAAGAAGAAGAATGCAGGGGCAGATGTCTCCCTGCTCAGCACAATCTTGTCTTGGTTTCACTGTTACTCACTTACCACTTGACTATCTGCAATGATCCCAGACAGCTTTTATCTTCTCGCAGAATTTTTAGACACAGGTCTGCGAAACCAGATTTAGCACACAGTTACAACGCTTATCACAGCTCCTGGGCAAACACTGAAACTAAGCCAGTCACCTCCCCCCCCTGTTTTGGATAAAATGCTTTATCTGGAGGTCCTTCCTGAGCGGAAATGCTGGGTTTCCACCGAGTCCCAGGTGGGCTGACACAAGCTCATTGCTGCGTTTGCAAATGTCAGAGCTTTCCTCAGCTCTGAGGGCTCTCCCGGAAGAAGAGCTGAAGTTACAGCTCAATTTCAAAACACCAGCAGCTCCATCCTCTCCTCCCTCCTCTTCTCCGCTCCATCCTATCCCTCCATTCCCTAACAACACCTTCCCTTCTGCACTCAGACTCCATCAACATCCGTATGAGGTAAATGACTGTGCTCAGAGTAAACTGCTTCTGTCAAGATTTCCCACACAGCTCCTTCTACTGTTTCCAGGCACTCAAGATGGAAAACGCACTTTCAGTCTCACAAAAGAACTTCAGTGTGAACCCTGAAGGCTCAAAAATCCAATGGAAAATAAAACACAATAATCAGAGTAATTTCTTTCAAATTCTGATTTTTAAGTCACTCTCCTGTGTCACTCACTCATAGGGCTGGCAGTGCCAAGGAATGACTACAAACTAAGAGGAACACTGACAGAAAAGCCAGGAGTTGCAGGTTGTCTTCCATGCTCTCTATCAGGAGCACTGTCTCCACCCAGACTTGAGAAGGCCCGTGGCCAACTCCCTAACAAACTGAACTCAGACCTGTGCAGCCAGGAGCCAGCACATAAAGCAGATTCCAGCTAAAAGACAGTGAGCAGAAATAAGAATTCAGCACAAAGAGTGTCACCATCCAAGCAGCGGGTTCCGTAGGAGCTCTCTGGGAACAGCCCCCTCATGTAGGTGATACAGGACACGGAGATGGCCAGGAGCCTCTTCACCAGCACCAGAGACTGCTGCTCCGTGGTGATGGCATCAGGGAACAGCACTGCTTCCTGCAACAGGAGGGCAAGGCCAAAAGAGCACCACTGTAGTGAAAACAGGCACTATATTTAGAAACAACTCACAGTAGGTGGAAAGACGGTAACTTAAAAATGTAATTTTAACATTTCTCTGGTCTTTAAGCTGCGCAGGGAAGAATCGTGTCTAAGGTGGGTGGGATTAAATGTTTTTAGGGTAGTGATCAACAGATCATTGTTCAGGTGCAGCCTGCACTGGTTGGGCATGCCCTCCCCTTTACCACATTCTCATCCCTTCCACTCCACCAACACTGGCACTCACCAGACAACCACCCCTAAAAAAAGTGCATGGCTGTAACTGCAGAGTCACCCCAGTGCCAGGGCTGGTGTGGCACTCAGGGCTGTACCAAAAACTGCTGCCACAACTGTCTGCCTCCGACAGCAGCCCGAGCTGCCAGCGCTGCACACCCCCAGGTTTCAGAGTGATTTTAACTCCGAGCTGTAAACAGCACATGGCTGCACCTGGAGCTACTGTAAATGCACACTGTGCGATGTCAACATGAACAATGCAGCGGACACTACACTAAATTAAGTTCTTTTATTAGTTTATTGCTGTTCTTCCTCCTAATAAAGCTCGGTGCACACCTAATGAGCCTACATTTATTGAGTCAAACCACAGCAGAGCCCCACGCTGTTTCTCACTGAATTGGAAATAATCCAACTAAGAACAGTGCAGACAGCAGAAAGTGTTCCCACCTCCCTCCACAGGCACAGGCGTGCCAGGTCCCAAAATGAGAGCTAAGGTTGTCATCATAATTTAAGGGTTTTACCTTAGAGGATTTTTTCTTTTGCCTGACTAGCTGCTGAGTAGCCATCCTGTATTTCAAAGACCTGCCTTCCACTTGTAGCTAAACCCTGAAAAATAAAGAAGACATGAGACACCTGGAAAAAAACAGTTATTGCTGTTTCTCCTGTTTCTTAAACGGAGATTGTTCAGGTTGTTCAGGTCTGAAAGCTAACTGCCAGCCAGGACAGCTAAAGCAGAGCAAGCCAAGGATACTCCATGGCACTGAGCCTGCAGAGCACGAAAACTCCCCGTTCACTGGCAAACGATCGATAGTGCTTGAAATTCAGGGCCACAACTGCACTTGGTGTCAGTCACTTCAAAATGCACTTCTCATATTCCAAACCACAAATGTTAATTCCTACAACCATTAAAAACTGCAAAGGGGGAATGTGAAAGAACTGGAGGTCTGCCAACAGTAGGTAATATTTCAGCAAGGGTAAGCAGGAAACGCACTAACATCAGTGTTGGCCGGAATAAAGGAATGATTCTTCTGGGACACCTTGAAAGGAGAAAAAAAAAAGGGAAAAAAAAAAAACAAACCAGCCAGAGAGAAGTCCAAATTGTTTCAGTGAAAGCCTGTTAGACAAGCCTGGATTGAAGAGAAAAATATTCTTTTTACAGGAATGGGGAGCTGATTGATACAGGCAATAATGTGGACATTCCACATTTCGCACTTGGGTGAGGTGCTTGATTTAGCACCACCTGACACCCTGATTAAAAACTTCCATTAGCTGGAATTAACAAGGCACACGTTTACTGGCTTGAAAAATGACTCGCTGGGAGATCTCTACATCTCGTTACTAACAGGGGATGTTAATGGCATGAAACACCACCAACAGGTCGCCCGAGTCCACAGCCAGTTGATATTCCCAGTAACAATTAAAGTAACAGCACAAACACGGTGGGCTGATTCAAATCCTGACCTAATGCAGCCAGCAGCAGGATTTTATTAACTCAGCTGATCCAACCCTGTTCTGCACTTGTACCTTTTGTGCTTTTTTTTCCATGGAAGCCTCATTTCCATTTTTTGGCAGTCATTAAGACATGTTGATTGGAACATGGTGACAGCTTTTATGCTAAATTTAGCGCTTCATTTAGTAATGAGGACAGATTACGGCTATAAAAGTATATTTAAACAAATACACACCTGCAAAATTTTTAATGTGTTAAATATTTTAGCAAAGTAGCTTTTTTTTACTCAAGCACTGCAAGCAGGACTGGAATGCAATCAAGGCAGACAAAGGTATTATTACAATGTGAGGTTATTAGCTAAATAAAGCTGATTTAAGTGAAACAAAGAGATAAGAAAACACGTTTTCTAAACCATACCACACTTATACTGATTTAATGTGGAGGAAACACCACCTAGACTGAGATGATCCACTCTGGCCTGGCTGTTTAGGTACAAGACTTCAGCATCAGTGTCTTACCTGGGCTGGAGGGGACAGAAGGTGCCCTGGAACTCCAATGCTCAACCACTCCGCAGCCACTTTATCATCAAATATCAGGAAATAAGTATTAAATGGGAAAAACCAACCCTCATCCTCAGGAAACCCCCCGTCCTCGCGGGACTTTGCCCCCTCAGCCCTGCCCCTCGTGCCCGATATTGGAGATGTGAGGCACTGCAGCCCCTAAAGGATGCCATGGCTCCCAACATAGGGTTCAAAGTCTCTTTTGGGGGGTGTCTCTGAGGGTTTTTTTGAGTGGCCGGGCCCCACACGGGACCAGGTCCTGCCCCTCACACGGCAGCACCTGCCACCACCATGAGGCACTGGGGGTCCCCCTGAGGCACCCCTGAGGTGCTGGGGGTCCCCCTGCAGCACAGGGCAGGGAGCAAAGAGGCGGGGGGGCTGAAGTGCAGGAGACCCTGGAGACACTGAGGGACCCCTGAGGTGCTGAGGGACCCTTAAACACTGAGGAGTGGAAGGCCAGTGACTCCCCTGAGGTGCCAGGGCCCCTCTGAAGAGCAGCGGGAAGACCTAGAGGCAGAGGAGGGTCCCCCTGAGGCATTTGGGGTCCCTCTGAGGTGCTGGGAGCCCTGTGTGGACCCCATGAGGGGCGGGAGCCACGTGCTGGAGGTGCAGGCTGTCCCTGAGGCACTGAGAGACCCTTGAGGCACAGAGGAAACCCCAGAGACAAAGGAAAGTCCCCCTGAGACACCTGGGGTCCCCCTGAGGTGCTGGGGAGCCCTGTGAGGAGTGGAGGGACTCCCTGAGCTGCCCGAGGGGGGTGTTCCCCGAGGCGCGGGAGCCCCTCAGACGCTGGGGCTCCCCTGGGGGGGCACCCCTGAGGGACCCCCGGGACACTGAGGGACGCCTGAGGCGCGGGGGCTTCCTCTGAGGCACGGGGGCAACCCCAGAGGCAGACGAGTGTCCCCCTGGGGCATCTGAGGTCCCCATGAGGCGTTGGGGACCCCTCTGAGGAGCGGAGGCACCCCCTGAAGCGCGGGAGGTTCTCCTGAGGCGTGGGAGCTCATGAGGCGCGGGAGGTTCTCCTGAGGCGCGGGAGTTCATGAGGTGCTGAGGGACCCCTGAGGCGCGGGAGGTTCCCCTGAGGCGCGGGGGGTCCCTTGAAGTGCTGGGGGTCCCCCTGAGGCTCGCCCTCCGCCTCCCCCGGTCTGGCCGGGCGGTTCCCGTACCTTCTCCGCCCTGCCCGGCTCCCCTGGCTGCCCTCCGGCGGTGCCGCCACCCCTGCGGGCCCGGGCGGTGCTGGGGGCGGGCAGGGGCGGCCCCGCCGTGAGGCGGAGCCCTGACCGTGGCCCTGTGTCTGTCCCTGTCCCCGCCGCCCTGTCCCCGGACCTCGGGCAGGACAAGGTGTCCTGGTTTGAGGATGGTATTCCCCAATTCAGCCCCCTCACGGCTACTGCGAAAAGTTAACCCCGTCGTTCGCCAAAACCAGGCCACAAGGTGACCCTGCAGAAGAAAAAGCAGCAGGGCCAGCCATGGCAGGGACAGTCGTATGGTATCATCTATCTTTAACATCACTCTATAGTCAAATACTGTGTTTGTTTGCAGAATATCACCTTAATATCATCCCAACTCAACTCGAAGGGACTCTGTAAGAACTAGATTATTTCACAACCCAGGCAAGGAGGATTTCTCCATTTCCCTACTATCTTACTTACAGAATAACCTGCCTAAACTAATTCTTACAGTTTCCAGGCATTTTGTTGTCTTTTAGATAAAGAAATGTAATTTCTCCTTCTCGTGTTTACCCCATTATCATTCCAAGCAATTCAGGTGAGAACACCCCCCTCACCCTGCCCCTTCCCAGTTCCCCCAGCTCTGACAGGTTATTATGCTTTGCCCAGGTAGGAGGGGCAAACTCTGTTTCCTGAGTACTTGTGTTTTTCTGGGCCATTTTCTGATCTCTTTCCAAGGACCTTTGCCCTAGTTCAGTTGACAACAGCTGCTGGAAAACTCCTTCCAGAGGGAGGAGAGAAGACAGAATTGATTTTTCAAGAATAACTTCACAACACTCAAACAAGCCAGGATTGGTGCTACCATCAGATGAGGGTCTGTAAGCGAGAGCTGTTGGCGTAACACGTTCAGGGCTCTGCTGAATCATGTTTGCCTGTCGCCTGCCCTGGCGGAGATCTAGTGCCACCATCCAGCCCTGGCAGTCGGGTCACTTTCTGCCTCGCACCAGGGACAGGTGCCAAACGCCGAGTGTTAAAGGAATCAGCACGACCGGGGGGCAGGAGCAGCCGGTCAGCCTGCAGGAGAAACAAGTGTTGGAAGATCTGGAAATGCCCCTTGCGAGGAGACCAACGGAGACCCTCTTCCAAGAGCAGCCCAAGACTGGGAACCAGTACTTGGAGGACACTTTGCTTCGGAGTTACTTGAAAACACACCTTCCTCCCAAGGTCTGGCGTGCATGTTTGTGTTTCTGTGTGTACCCACCCCAGCTCTGCCCAGTCACTGTTTCAGCCTGTGAATTGACTGTTTCTCTGAACCTTTGAGCATTTAACTGGGGGTGATTTATCAGCTTTCTTTAAAACATATTATGTTTGAGGGCAGGAGTGACAAACAGCGCCACGACATAAACAGCAAGTGGCTCAGTGGCTCCTGGGACTGGGCTGGGTGTTGCAATGATGTTGTGGGATTGTCGGTGCAGGCATTTGTTGTCTGGTCATCTGGAGAACAGAATTTGAGAGAGAAGGAAAAAAACTAAGGTGCCTCCAACCTCAGCTGTGCTCTTCCACCTCTCTTTCCCCGGGAAGAGGGGCTTTTACAGAAATTCTTAAGGAATGGGGCTGTTCTCAGCTGAGTGCTCAGTGGGTCCAAAGGCCCCTTGGGGTCTGCTTGGTCTCAGCACAGGTCAGTGGCATTTCTGGGTTGGTTTTCAGCCAGAGAAGACCCTGCACAGTTTCGGGGGTGCAGGTACTGGGGTGATATCCTGAACTGTAGGTCTCTGTGCTGTGAGCTCGTCCTTGAGGAACGCCTGGGAGGAGGCAGCTCACCTCACTGTCTGTCCTCTGACAACACCCCAAGGTCCACAAGGGTTTCCCATGTTTCAGGGCCCCGTTCTCGTGGAGCAGAGTGTGACGGCTCTCCATGATTTATTGCAGCAGAAGCTGCAATGACCTCTAAAGCCACTGGGTGAGCAGAGGGGAAGAACGTGGCTTTCAGTGAGGCTCTGCCTTCCTCTGCTTTCCCTCCAGGTCTGCAATACCCCGCAGACACCGGGTGGGAAGAGTGTGGTGGAAGCAGTGGGAGCTTGTTTTTGTCTCAGCTATCCCTAAAGACAGGAATGAGGCCTCCCTAAGCACCACTGTGGCCTTCCTGCCAGGTGAGAAGACAGGAAGGGACGATGCCTTTGAGCAACCATGAAAATCCTGCTCCCAATCTGCACCTTTGGAAGAATCACGATCCAGGTCTCCCGAAGAATAAAAGGATCAGTGCTGTGTTTCAGCGAGGCTGAGAGCTGCCTCCACTCCTTCCCCAAAGAGAGGACAGCGGCTGTGAAATCTCCCAGAGCAGCATCTCCCTTTCATTTCTGCTCTCGGTCCCAGCGGGGCAGTGTTGCCTCGCCGCTGGAAGGGAGAGCCCCGGCTGCTGTCTGCAGCACTGGGAGCCGGCTCTTCATGGGAGCACCTTCCCGGCCAGGAGGACAACAAACCCCGAAGCTTTGGGTGTCCCACCGAAGCAGACACCACGCTGGAAGCTGATTCCTGTTGTACCATTCAGTGGCGAACACAGAAATTTTCCTGGAATGGCACAAAAGATTTCTTCCTTTGTTTGAAGGTGATTTCAGGAGAGCACAGAATGAAGCACCTGCTTTTTCTGAGCATTGTTGTGAAGGAGGATCTATCTGGTGTTGATCGGCCTGAAAATATGTCCTTTACTATAAAGGGCCATCTGTTTTCACTCCTAATGTGCAATAATTTGCACATTTCCAATATATTCATGCCTGGAACATCAAGGGATGGATTGGGGTGAAGGAGACCACCCAGCAATCCTGCCCCTGCTGGTTTACAGGTGTCCTCTCCATGTCCCAGTGTCTGTTCTTTGGAGCACCCAGGCTGCCGTGTGTGATGCTCAGCAGTCACAAACGCGGGAGTTTTGATTTTGTCCTTTCCCCTCGGCAATAAACACATTCATTTGGGCAAGGCAGTGGTTTGTCAGGCTGTGTGTGGTCAGGGCATGAGCTCCCAGCAAGGCAGTTGGGGTTTTTAGGAAATATGGACGAGCATCCTGCAGTGTGAACTCAAACCAAGAGATCTACCTGATAGGCTCGTGTGCTTCTGCCCACAAAAAAAAAACCCCAAAAAACAAAAAAACAGGTAAACAGTTCAAAGGTTCTTGTGCTTCAGGGATCAGCAAAGTCCATGAACTTTGTTTTCCTGGTTTATGCCTTGTAAACAACCTTCAAATGATAAGCACTGGAGGTGCACACCCCTCCCAGCTGGGCTCCGACGGCAAACAGGACTGTGGCATTTCCCTGTCACCTTGAAATGGGAATGTGAGGAGGTTGGAATGAATCACTCCTCTGTGGTGGGTGCTGGTTTCCCTCCATCAACTGTGGACAGACTGCTCTGTCCTGGTCAGCCCAGGGGAAAGAAGGGCACATGAATTCTTCTCCAGGGTCGCGTAGGAAGCTGGGTGCAGGGTGGGAATTTGAATCAAGACACGTTGCCTGCCAGGCTGAAGCTGGAATGATTGCTCCATCCCTCCTTTCCTAACCTGACAGGCAGGGAACTGCTAAGCCCAGTGAAAGTTTTCCTTTACAGATGAAGGCATTCCAGTTTTGGCAGCCCTTCCCCTGGCATTCTTCTCCAGCAGTAAATCATGGAGTGGCTGAGGGAACCTCTGGAGACCATCTCATCCAACCCCCCTGTTCATGTGCATCTGTGTCATCCTCAGCCCTGATACTAAAGCACTTCTGCCTTTTGTGAAATCCAGACATGCTGCCAAAAGTAACTTGAAAAAATGATTTTGAGGGCAAAAAGAGACAAAGTGACAGTGGAGCACAGCTGTGCCAGCAGAGGCTGAGGGAGAAGTTGCTGTGCTGTGTTACAGAATGCCCAGAAGGGCCAAACAGCAAGAGACCACTGGCACTGCAGGAGAACTTGGTCAGTCCTCTGCCTTTCCAGCTGGGACCAAGGCTTCTGCTTTCCAGGGCTGTGCTGATGGGCTCTTCTTGTTGCTCCATAGGTACTGGAGGAGGTGCATCAGGAGCTGGAGAGGTTTGGAAACCGCCTGCAAACCAAGATCCAACCCCTGGGATGGGAATGCGAGTTGAACCCGCCGGTGTTCCGGCAGTTCGATGCCTGGGGACAGCGCGTGGATCGCATCGACACCTGCTCGGCCTGGAGGAGGATGAAGGAGATCTCGGCAGAAGAGGGGCTGATTGCTGAGGCCTATGAGAGAAGATACTCCAACTGGAGGTAACTGGGGGAGAATGGGAGTGACTCGGAGCCTCCCTGGTTATTCTTGGCAAGGTTTATCCAGCCGGTTGTGTAACGGGTAACAGATGCTGCCCGGACACCAGCCCAGCTCCCGCTGTCCCCAGCAGCACTGTCTGTCCACTGCAATGTTCCACCTCAACAGTGATAGAACAGAACTAATGGCCCACACTTGATCATAATATTCTTTGCTGTCACCTTCCTGATTGTGGGGCCTGGCAGTTCCCTGCACTGCTCCAGGTAACGCAGCTAAAGACCTGAGATTTCACTCGCAGTTTCGTTGTGTTCCGGTCCATGGAGACAGACCCACATTTCTTACTGTTAAAAACTGCACCAGCTGGCCTGGTGCTGGCAGTCCCACTGAGACTGAGAAACTCTGCTGCTCCTCTTCTCTCCTCCTGGCTGGAGCAGTTTTTGCCCTCTCAGAAATGAGTGCTCTGATCCTCACCTGCTCTGGCTGTATTTTTCCTTCTCTTCCCGGTCGAGATGTTTTATCCTCCCGCTGTTGCACTGCTGTGTAACCCGTCTGTTCTCTCTCTCTCTCTCTCTCAGCCGCCTGTACCAGGCTGTCAAACTGTACTTGTTCTCAACCTCCTCGGGAGGTTTCAACTGTCCACTGGCCATGACTGATGGGGCAGCCAAAGTCATTGAGGTATGAGCTCAGCTGGTCCCTGAGGGCACAGCCCATGTCCTGGCATCACTGGTTAGAGATGGGAGCACCGGCTAAGGATGGAGGAGCACTGATCCACCATCTGGCCCTGGGCACGGCCCTTGCTTGCTCTGTGACTCAGCTCCGTCCCCCACTGCCTTTGTCTGTTAGTGACAAAGTCTCTGTGCCCATGCCAGCTTTTATGTTTACTTACAGCACTGTGTACAGTCAGCCCTTCGCTGCACGTGACACCTGCGACACTGCAGGCAGTTGGAAGTGTGTCCCCAGTGGAAGTGTCCAAGGCCAGGTTGGATGGGGCTTGGAGCAACCTGGGCTAGTGGGAGGTGTCCCTGCCCATGGCAGGGGGTGGAACAAGATGGACTTTTCCTATTCCTTGTGTGGAGTGACAGATATACCGGGCCAGATCCATACCTGGTGTAAATTCACCAAGCCACCAAGACTTTCCCAGTTGGAATATTTGGCTCTGCATCTTAGTGACACCCCTTGCACTGCCTCAGTGGCTGTGTAGGATTCAGAGGAAATATCCTTTAAGTATCTAACTGGGCATTTTAATTCAACAAAAATGAAACCAGCCCAAGGTTTTTACCTCTTCCCAGCTGGTGACATCCAGTGTACATGAACATATGCTGATACCTGGCACAGGGACTGTTTTGGGAGCTCTCTGTCCAGATGTCCAGCGGTGCCGAGCTCTGAGGAGGGCAGGGATGTTCAGCACTCCCCTTTGTAGCACAGGGAACACCTTCTGTGTGCACAGTGCTGCAGCAGCCAGGCAGGAGCTGGCTGGCTCACAGGCTCTCTGCAGCACCTGCAGATGCTCCGCAATGCAGGACCCCCACCTGCTTCCAGACCCGCTGGTCTGAGCCCAGGACACACCAGGGGCAGTTAAAGCATCTGTCTGATTTCATCTACTGCATCATGGTCATCCCAGCTTCTTTTCCCTCCCCCCAAACAGTCGCTGGGGATTCCTGGATCTCTGAAAAGCGCTTTTGACCGTCTGACATCCCGTGACCCCAAGAAGTTCTGGACCTCTGGCCAGTGGATGACGGAGCGCAGGGGCGGCTCGGATGTTGGTACGTGCCCTGAGGTGGGAGACAGATGTGGCAGTGAGAACTGAGAAAATGAAGGGTGTGGGGAGCTTACAAAGCCAGGGAGCTGGTTTAGGAATCCTCTGCACAGCTCAGCTTTTTAACCAAGAAAATGCCCAACTTCTGTCCACTGGTGCAAGCAGAACACACAGGCAGGCACAGACCTGTGCTCCTTGCACAGGTAACACACAGATCTCTAGTAATGTAATCTAAATGAGCTCTGTAATCTAAACATTGAGCCACACAGTCAAGTCCATGCCAGCTGGGACTGAGAAAGCATCCTTGGCCTTCCACTTTTATTCCTTGACTAATGTTAGTTATTAATAACATTAGTTATTTGGCTACTAACATTAATAAAGGGTTACAGAACCTCAGAGCTCTGCTGCAGAGGCAGAACTGTGGAAGGGGAGTGTGAGGAAGCTGCAGTTGGTTTTCTGCTGTGAAGTGAAAGATGTGCATCACTGCAGGGCTCCCAGATCCGTAGAGCCCTCAGTGTTCTTGGCTGTTCTAGCCCCTGAAGAACTGGAGGCACTGGATTATACACACTGCGTTTTTTATCCAGGGTCAGTGAAAGAGATTAAAAGCTCACCCGTGCTCCATCTTCATAGCAAGAGGTGGCTTAAAAGAGCTGCTCTTAAACTGAAAAAGCAGCACTGATTGACACGGAAGGTCCCATAAGGCCAAGGAATGTTCCCCTCTGTTTCAGCTAACGGCACCGAGACCGTGGCCAGGAGGCAGCCGGATGGTACCTATCGTCTCTATGGCTTTAAGTGGTTTACATCAGCTGCTGACTCTGATGTGGCATTAACCCTGGCCAGGATAGCAGATGCTGAAGGACAGGTAAACCAGTTCTGTTGGATGGCAGAGCCAGGTGAAGGAGCAGGGACATTCTCTCTCTTACTTGTTTGATCATAATTAAATCCTCACTGTGTGCTTTTCAGTGTCCCCAGGGCTCCAGGGGCCTGTCCCTGTTCTTCCTGAGGGTTCGAGATGAGGAGGGGAAGCTGAACAACATCCAGGTGCAACGGCTCAAAGACAAGCTGGGCACCAGACAGATGGCAACGGCAGAGCTGTGGCTGCAGGGAGCCAGAGCAGAGCTGGTGAGTTGGGGTTCACCCTCCCCTGGGCACTGGGCTGGCCTGGCACAGCACACACTCCTGGAACTGGAAAAGCTCTCCCCTTCCATCTTGGCATCTGGCTGTTCACCAGTGGGGCTGTGTGGAGCATATCTGAGAAGAGCTCAGGAAAATATGTAAGGGAAGAAAATAAAGAAAGTCATTTTAGGCTGGTCATTTCAGGCTGGTCATTTCCCTAATCCAGATGCAGCTGAGGGACAGTTTGTGTAATGGGCAGGTAGAGCAAGCAACAGGGACCAGAACTGATCATGCCACCTCTCTGGTCATGGAATCATAGAATCAGTGGATGGTTTGGTTTGGGAGGCACCTTAAAGCTCATCTCATTCCACTCCCTGCAATGAGGGCAGGGTCACCTTCCACTAGACCGGGTTGCTCAGAGCTCTATCCAACCTGGCCTTGAACACTCCAGGGATGGAGCAGGCACACTGTGCCACAGCCTCGATTGACAGGGGACAGCCATATTTCAGAGCACTGAGGTGCCTGAGGTCAGACAGGACTGGAGTGGACAGCCCGTGTCCCTCTGTCTGTTGGCACCACTTTCCCTTCAGTATCCATCCCCACTCAGGGCAGTGTGAAGGGCTCACACCAGCCCTTGTTCCTTGCTGTTTCAGATCTCTGCAGAGGGTCGTGGAGTGGCCTCCATCTCCAGCATGCTGAACATCACTCGGATCCACAACATCATCGGTTCAGTAGCTTCCATGAGAAGGTGAGGGCGGCGTGGATCCCCCCAGAGATGAAGGAGCAGCTCGGCAGGACAAGGGGACTTTGCAATGCTCAGCGTTGCGCTGAGTGACATCTAATGACTTTGTGGGACAGGTCTGGAGGGCAGCAGTGCTGGAGGAGGCTGGGGGTGACCCAGGCTGGGGGGTACAGCTGAGCAGGGTTCTTCTGGAAGGGAATGCTCCAGAGTGGAAGGTCTGACGGTGTCCTGTCTGTGTTCCCTCCAGGATGATCAGCCTGAGCAGGGACTACGCCCGCAGGAGGGTTGCCTTTGGGAAGCTCCTCAAGGACCACCCCCTGCACATGCAGACCATAGCCCGGATGGAGGTGAGGCTGTTGGGGGCCAAGCTGAACCTGGCGGGAAAGAAAGAGGGCAGAGCTGCTCTGCTGGAAATGAGCACAGCCAGCCTGCCTGTGTGCAGCAGTCGAGGCTGCTCCTGCTGCAACAAGGTGTATGCAGCAAGGGAGTTGCCACATTCTAGTGGGATTTGATCTGATGATAGACCTAGCTTCTCTGCTGGACTTCAGGTTACCCTAAACAATTACCTGGGAGCTCTCCCGAGTGGAACACCAAAGCTCATGGGCGCCCCTGCTGTGGTGAGCCACGACCTCTCAAACTGGGTGTTAGCATCAGAGTCCAGGCCTGACACCACGGTCACCTGAACTGCAGTTTCCAGACTCCTGTCCATGAGCAGCACAGATTCACCCAACTTTCCTGGTAGCTCATGCACCAGGAGCATTTAAAAATTCTCTTGCGAGTTGGGGGAAGGGGAAAGTGGTCAACATCTGTCAAATATAACTTCAGCTTCTCCTAGCCTGTGGCCAGAAAGAAAGAAAGGGCAGATCCTATACAGTCCCACAGCACATCTTTATGCAGAGGAGCTACAGAGCTCCATATCCTGATGCTTCCCAAATCACAACTTGCCAGGGAAGTAAGTTGCTCAGCAAGAAATCTGTCACAGACCTTGCAGCCCCTGGTGCTCAGAGACTGACCATCATGTATGTGGTCTCACATCCCTTACCCTTGGAAAGGATGTGGATTTGTGGCCTGGATGACTGGTAGGAGCTTTGCTAAGGCTCAAGCAGTCCTGAGGAAGTGGCATTGTCCCTTTCCTCATACCAGATCTCAGTGTCCAAGAGCAGCAGCCCCAGAGCACCTCTGATATTCTGTGCTTTGTGCCTTGTCTGGTAGGAGGTCTCTGTCTCTGTGGGTCTGTGCAGGAAGGAGTGGTATTTTCCCCTCGAGGCAGTCCCATGGCAGCTCAGCATGGACTCATGGAATCAGCCCTGGTCCCAGATCCCTGCCAGTGACACCCCTTGTTCCCTGCTGGCAGGTGCAGTGCCGAGGGGCGTTTCTGCTGCTCATGGAGGTCGTTCGGCTGCTCGGCCTGGCAGAAACCAACCTAGCCAGTGAGCAGGACCAGCTGCTCCTGAGACTGCTGGTCCCTGTGGCCAAACTGTACACGGGGAAGCAGGTATGGAACAGGCACTTTGGTTGGCCTGGGGAGGGGCTGCGTGGCACGTGGACAACCCCAGGGCTGGAAAGAGGACTGAGTGACACAGCCAGCATGAAGGGCAGAGAGAGGGGGCAGTGCCAGCAGGACCAGCTGCAGGTACTGCTCTGGAGGCTGGACTTTGTGAGCAGGAGCCTTGTCCCTTTGCTCTCCCAAGCCATCTGATGGGGACAGAGAGAGCCAGCACTGCCGAGAGGTGCTCCAAGTGCCACAGGAATGCTGCTGGGGCTCCCCATGTCCAGGGTGGCCACAGAGCCACAGAGAATATCGTTCACTATGAATAAATAGAAGAATAGATGTTAAGAGCTTAACATTAGCCTTGACTTCAGAGGTCTGTCCTCTGCTCATGGCCCTCAGCTGACATGCACAGAAGCTGAGGGTTAGGACTGTCCTGGCCTAGAGACACACACTCCCATGTTCCAAGCACAAGGACCTTGCCTAGGAAGGACTGTGCTGAGACAGACTCTCCTGGGTCTGGCTGCTCCTGCAGGGCCTCTCTCAGTCTTCCTTCCCCAGCTTCTCCTCCTGCATGTAGTGAGCAAACTGCCCCAGGAAGTCAGCAGGACCCGGTCAGCCCATCCTTGTAGGAACCACTGTGAGAGGTTTGTTTTCCCCTTGTGCACTGGGGGTCATGCCAGCTCTGCGTGTTGCAGGCGACTGCAGTGGCTGTGGAGGCGATGGAGAGCTTTGGGGGCCAAGGCTACATGGAGGACACGGGCGTGCCAGTCATCCTCAGGGACACTCTGGTAAGAGCAGAAGCTGCTGGGTGTGCCCTGGTCCCCTGCACTGCACTCTGCTTCCTGCTAAAGACCTGCTCCAGGGAGAACAC